GGAAGAGATGAGCCAGTCAGAGTGCAGTATAGCACTGATGAAACACACAACTTTCCTGTAGCTCTTTGGTGCTTCCTTCCCCCCACTATCATGACCTCAATTCTACCTTACAAATCACATTAGTCCAGAACATGCACACTGCTACAGGTAAGAGCCAGCAACACAGGGAATCCAGGATAGATAAACCCCTCAGGGCCAACAATGAGAGTAAAGATACTAGGAGGATTAGGGGATGGTGGGGGTAGAAAGGGGGAATCGATCACAAGGATCAATCTAAAACCCCTTCCCAGGGGGATGAATAATGGAAAAGTGGGTGAGGGGCGATGGAGGATGATGTAAAATATGGAAATAATAATCTATAACTTATCAAGGGTTCACAAGGGAGAGGGAAGAAACGGGGAGCTGATATCAGGGGCTCAAATGGGAAGAGAATGCTTTGAAAATGATGATGGCAGCTTAAGTGCAAATGTGCTTGACACACTGCAAGAATGGATGGATTGTGATAAGAGATGTAAGAGCCCCAATGAAAGTATTAAAAAACAACAAGAACAACAACAAAAGAAACCAAAGTATAACGCACAGAAATTTCATTAGAGGTCCTCAGTAGCAGATTCCAGGTGGCAAAGAACGGCTGTGAGGGTGAAAACAGGGCGCCAGAAGTGACCCGGTCTGAAGAACAACGTGCAAATCGAGTCAGGGCTGAGGCCCAGAGTCCCGTGGGAGAGAATCAGGACGCAGGGAAGCCGAGACACAAAGTCACCTCCTGAACTTGATGGGAGACGCTAAGCTTTTGAAGCCTAAGAGACAAGAATGAAGAGACACAGAATGAACATAAAGACACATGGGGGTGAAACAGGTGAAAGCCAAAGACCAGGGGAGACCCTGAAAACAGCCACAGAAAAATGACTCCTCAGCTAACTCCTCATCGAACTCCAATCAAGACCATGAGACAGTGGAGTGACACTTCAAAAGGCTGAAAGTGAAAAACAGTGCCAACCCAGAGCCCTATCTCCAGCAAACGAGCCTTTAAGACTGAAGGCAGATAATAATCCAGAGTACTCACTAGGTGCACTCTATCCCCATAAAGCATATTAAAGGGAGCCCTTCAGGCTGATAAGGAATGACCCAAGATCTGAATCAAAGTGAAGAACCTCTAAAATGGTAAATGTGTCTGTAATATCATTACTGTGTACTTCTTTCTCCTCTTGCCAAACCACGAAACTTTGTAACTAATGACAGCCCCGTACTGTTAGGCTTACGATATATACAAATAGAATAAAAAGGACAATGATGGAAAAGGAAGAAGGGGATGGAGCTATATTAGAGCACCGCATCTACATTTTATTAAAATTATGTCAGTATCAACCTGATTTTGATAATGATAAACTGCCACTATAATCCCTAGAGCAGAAAAATAACTAAAATTAAAAAACAAAACCAAGAATGAACAGTGAATCTAAAATGATACACCAAAAAAAAAAGTTTATTACAAAAGGCAGCAGTAAAAGAGGAATAAAAAATGACACGAAGCAACAACATGGCAAAAGTAAGTGGCACCTACCAATAATTACATGACACGTAATTAATGTACGTATACTTTACGCCAAAGACAAAGACAAC